TAGCGATATGTATGCCATATCTTTGCTTGTTTAAAAATATTTAACTAAGATAATTATGCAAAGATGAATAGCGAAGGAAATAGGCAGACCACAAGACCTGATTGAGGCTTATGAGACCTTAACAAGGCGCGGCTGGAGGACCAATCCAAGTTATCAATGTTTACACTGTTATTTTAGTAAATAGAGAGTTCATTGACAAGTCAGGTGATAGCCCACACACAATACTGTAATTATGAAAAAACCTAGTTATCTACCATAGCCTTGGCTTACCCTATGGCATAGGGTAAGCCAAGTTTACGTTTACATCGATTACTCGAAAGGGTCCCTCAGTCGGGAATTGACATCGAGGAATAAAATACTTAACTACGCATGTATGACAAGGGAAACGGACGTAACACAGAAAAACAAAAACAAAAATTCGTACTCAACAACAAAATGAGCCAGTCGAATGAATAAGCCCTGTTTACAATTTTTTAAAACATAGATGGCGCTCTATTTCGTGACGTTGAGCTGACGGCCATATTTCGATCTCAACTCAACTTTTCAGCCACAGTAGTTAGGGCCGCTAGAGTGGGGATATGCCTCCCCATACTACAGTCCTTACTTAGATAGTAGCTTGAGGCCTAGCTAGGTGGAAGCGCTAGGCCACCTCACTATATATATATAACAACTCCCTGCCTAGACTAACTAAAAATATACTGGAATACAAGCCTAGGTTACCATACCTGAATGACAGCATTTTCACCTATTCTGTAAGCTGCCATGACCTATTCTAAAACGTCTTAGGCCTAGGCCTTGTCATATTTGACTCGGTTTTACTTTTAGGGGTAGCCTCGCCACCAAAGCTATGGCCAAGTCAAGTTACAAAAGTTTGTTGTAAGAGTATGGAAAGCAACCGCCGTCGAAAATACGAAAGTGAACCAAAACGTTAAACATGCGCATCATTCGCTTACCACTGACGAATCAGCTCCATACGTTGGAGTTGCCTGTTTATTTTATCATCTTTGTTTTCCTTAATTGTTGCTTTCAATGCTATTTCGAATATTCCCTAATTTTTATATTAGTGACATCTTTCATGGTATAATAAATTCATTATAACTCATCAATGCTAAATTACATACATTTTATTCATTTACTTATTGTAATGTAAAACCACATGATATTGATTCTGTTTGCTTTTTGGTTTTCTTTTCTGAGAGAAATCACTGACAGACAGCATGCAATATAGACATACAAATCTATGTTCAGTTCTGCTGTTTACAAATTATCTAGCAAAATTTATAAAAAATTAACCACATGTAGAGCAAACAATTCATATCATGTATTTATTCAAATAAATAAACACTTAATACACTCCCTTCCTCGGAATGTCATAATGGAATTAATATCCCACGATCCAAGAATCTCCACGGGAGCGTTTTTCCCCCTCAAACATTAATTTTATGTGGTTCTCTACATTTCCAGTGTGATGACGTCTATGAGCTCAAATATATTCAAGCGCATACGTATCTACACCGTGAAAGAAAATACATAATAGGCCTATCCATGGGGGCCGGTGCTATTAATTAACCTCGCGTCACGCATGTGTTATTGAGGATTTTACGGTTTTATCTATTTATATCGTAGCCAGAAAATAGACAAATATAGGTTACCAAACAGAGAAATGTCTTAAATCTGCCACAGTTATTAATATAATATATTAATCGAAACTTCACTCTACATTTTTAAAAAATATATACAAAAAATAAATCTTTCTTACGTTTAATAAAGGCCCTTGATACCACTAAGAGTCCCTCTCACATGACTGGCTGTTTCTGAATATTTTGAAAATAATTAGCACAACGCCTATATTTTGCATATAATTAAAAGCACATTAGCATTCAGCATCTCAATATAAGGTGTGGCGTGACATACGTTCGTATTGGAACCGTATGGCCACACTGTATTACCGGTATTTAATATAAGCCTATAAAAAATATGTTTTGTAATAACGCTTCATTAGAGTGTTATCAATCCACCTGTGCGTTATTTTGTATCGCGTTTTACCGCAAAATGATTATTTCGAGGATTTGTTGACTGTCGTCAATGCATCTTCGAAACATTCCACCTGATCTCTATCAATGAGTTATTTTACAAAAAATGCAAAATGTTCGCGAAGCCATGTAATCCAGTGGCGCAAAATATCGAAGCCTGAACCCATGAGTATTCTCTAAATCGATGATAATTGATTGGATCGTAAATGTGGGAACCGGTTCTTTTGACGGCTTATTACGGCTGCAATGGAGCCGATTTAAAGAATTCGATCCAACTCGGCCACAGTCAACTCGGCCACAAGTCAACTCGGCCACAAATCAACTCGGCCACAAAAAGTATTGTTGTTTTTATTACCGTTAGTTTTAATATTATTAGTCTTAGCATTAACATTATGTACGGTATTGTTTAAATTTTTGCTATTATTATTGTTACCATATAAATAATACAAAATTCTCGATTTTTTTTATTCATATTATTATTATATATTAGTTTTAGTATTATTATTTTATTAATAGTAATTTTAAAAATATTGTTATTGGTGTTTTATTGGTATATTTCTCATATTATTATTATTATTATTATTATTATTATTTAATTATTATTATTGTTGTTGTTGTTGTCACCTTTAATATCGATATTATTACCCTATTATTACTAAGTAGGCATAGTATTATAAGTATTATAATTATTATTATTATTACTAATTAGTATTACTATTATAAAAATAAACGTTATCTTTAATTTATTATTGCTGTTATTATTGCTATTATCACCTTCAATGTTATTATCACTAATTAGTATTATTAAAATAGATATTTAAATATCGTTATTACCATATTATTACTATTAGTATTGTTAAAATAAATATTACTATAATATTGTTGTTGTTATCACATTTATTATCGTTATTATGACTAATTAGTATTATTAAAGTATAATATTTGAAAAGGACCGACATGTCACTGGTGATTCACGTCATTAGATGCATCTTCACTGACGGTTTTCAAACACAGCCCCCAATGGTTGAACAAATAAGAAGTACTGAAGTCTGTCACTCAATACCAATTGTGGATAGTTGATACTAGATGCTGCACCCCATCTAATTTTAACGAAGGCCTAATTCTTGGGCGTGGTTCTGAAGAAAATAGTATCGAAATGCACGCCATCGTGCATTCATTTGATTAGGTCTACAGTATCTCATGTTTTATGTCAGTGTTTTAACGTGAACAAAATTAAACCTGTCTCTTATACACATCTAGATGTGTATAAGAGACAGATATATATGTATATGTATATATATATATATATATAT